GAAATAAATGAAGGTATTTGATATGATATACGTTTGTAGGACACAAGATCTATTGCCAAGGAGCATTTCTATTTTTTTTTTTACAAAGATGAAAGTGTGTTCCATTCCAAAACTATTCACAGAGAATTGCAAGAGACCCCAAAGAGCCAAGACAATACAGAAAAGAAGAACTAAGTTGGTTTCTCGCCCTTCCTAGCTCCAAAACTTACCAGGAAGCCACAGCAGTCACCGAAACACGGTGCTGGCCTGAAGACAGACCCAGTAGCTGGTGGACACTGGACACAGAGCCAGAAATTCACCTCTGAAGCAGTGAGCAAATGGTCTCAACAGGGACAGCAAGGCCATTCAGTGGGGAAACAGTGCTGGAAAACTATTCACATGTAGAACAATGAAACCGGATGCTGCCTTTACATCATGTGTAAAAATAAATCCAACGGGGCCAGTGCCGCCCAGAGCAGGCCCGGGAGCCCCTCTGCCCAGAACACCACCAGGAAGACACCAGCTGGGGACCGGAAGGGGTCCGTGCCTCTGGGACGGGAGACACAGCGTGGCTGCACGCCACTCATCAGGCCCCAGGCTTTGTTAAGCAGCGGCCCGGACCGACCGAGGCGGTTTGGAAGGCGGCGGAATGTTCTGAGCGTACATGGGTTTCCCGCTCGCTCAGTGAGCGCGTGCCCAGCAGCACTGTCCACCTTGCACACACCAGTCGTCTAGTGGACAAACTGCTCTCGATTCTGCTCTCTTCTGAACATCTGAGATAAGAAGGCATTGGACTGGTGGGCGCCACCGCAATTAATGCAATTCCACTCAGCATTCTCTTCTGGCTTCTGTACACTCTCAAATCTTTTAAACTTTCCTAGCCAGGCGTGGTGGTGCATGCCTGTAATCCCAGCACTCAGGAGGCTGAAGCAGGAGGATCGCTGAGTTTGAGGCCAGCCTGGGCTACACAGCAAGACTTTGATTCAAAAAAGAAAGAAAGAGGGGCTGGGGATTTAGCTCAGTGGTTCCGCCGCCTGCCTGGCAAGCACAAGGACCCAAGTTCAATCTCTGGTACAAAAGAAAAAAAAAAAAAGAAACAAACAAACAAACACTAAAAATTTTTCCTTATGGAAGGAGAAGGTGCTACTTGGGATTTCCTGTGGACCTCATGCCAGGTTCCTTTTGTTCTCTTTATCATGAGAAGGCCCAGATCTGGTGTCGGGGTCCCCCCACCCCGCAGGGATGGTAAGAGGGAACAGCAGTGTCCATAAGGACTCTGGCGGGGGCAGCAGTGCCACCCCGTGTGCCAGCTGAGCACTCTGCCGAGCGCAGTTGGAGTCATTTCTTGCTGCTGTTACCGGACACCTGAGGCCAGGTGAGTGGGTAAGGCGGCTCCTGAGCTGGCCAGCTTCTCCTCAGACACCCACCGGGGAGGCAGGCGGGCCAGGGTCACCCACAGCTCTCTCCAGCCCAGGGTCCGAGGACACCCAGCCCCTCAGCAGGCCGGTGCCCCCAGGGTCGCAACACTGGGCTCTGAGGCCGCTTTCCTCATGCTGCTCACTGTCACCCTCTGACCCCAGCGCGAGCCCAGTGACAAAGGGCAAGGAGCAAAAAGGAGGCTGGAGCCCAGCTGGGAGCCCGGGGAGGGGCCACATGGACTGGCTCATGTCAAACTTCAATTGTTTCATTAGCTGATGTCTGCGATAGAGCGCAGTTACATCCTTACATCCTGCTAACCCTCTCCCGCCCCCACAGGCCTGCCTTGTCTCTGCCTACCACCCGTCCTTTGGGGAGCTCTGTATATTTATGTTTCAGGTGTCTCATACAGTGGAAACGTGAGATAGATAACTTTCCGTGTCTGGCTCCGCGGAGCATCACTCTCTCACGGCTCCATCTGTACGGGGAATGGCACCCCGTCGTGCATGTACGCCGCAGTTTCGCAGTCCATCTGTCTCCGGGCAGAGCATGGCCGCCATGAGCTGTGCCGCTATGAACACGGTGTGCACGGATCCCTGCAGTGCGGGGCACTGGTCCTCAGAAACTCACCTGGGGGGTGTGGCGGGTCGTAGGGATTTCTCAGGACTCTCCATATGGATTTCCACAGTAATCAGACAGGCTGACATCCCACCACCAACACAGCAGCCGGCCCCATCTTCGCCAGCATTTGCTGCTTTTGTGCTCCTGACCACAGCTGTTGTGACCGGAACATGACTGTAGCTGAGTATTTTGATTTCCATTTCCCTAGTGGCAGCAGATGCTGAGTACTTCTTCTGTACCTATTGCCTACTGAAACTTCTCCTTTTGAAATGTGACTGCTCAGTTCACTTGCTCACTGTCTGACTGGTCTCTTGTTTGACGGGAGTCAATTTTCTGATGGGAGTCAATCTATTCTACTTATCGGCCCTCTAACCCAAGACGGGCTGACAAAGCTTTTCCCTTTCTGTAGGTTGTCTCCCATGCTGCTGTTTTCTTTGCCGTGCAGAAGCTTTTTAACTTGATGAATCCCATTTGTTGATTCTTAGTATTATTTCTTGTGTTATCTTCCAGAGGTTTCAGTCTTGCTGCTGTCATATCTAAGACTTTAATGTATTTGGACTTGACTTAGCACAAGATGAGAGTCAGATCTGGTTCCTTCTTTTGCATGTGGGTGAGCAGTTTGCCCAGCACATTTGGTACAGGCTGTCTCTCCTCCAACACGTTTCTGGCCCATCTTAGTTGCTGTTCTCATTGCTGAGACTAAATGCCCAGCACTCAGGGTTAAAGGGTAAAGGTTTATTCAGCTCACAGGGTGGAAGGTTCAGCCTATAGTCGGCTGGCTCCAGGGCAGGGTGGCATGGCTGAGGAGAAGCAGTTCATGGTGGGCAGAAGTCAGCAAAGCAATGAGGGGCAGCCTCAGCTCTTTCTGCCCCTCTTATTTTATCCAGAGCACTCACACCCTTAATCCTGGCATCCTCAATCCTAGCACTGCACCATGAATCGATCCCAGCCCCACACTCTAGATCCAGCACCTCTGCAAAGCCCACCTATGGTTGCGTGAGGCTTTGGGGCCTCTGGACATTGGTGTAACAGCCCCTTTGTCCAGGGTCAGGTGGCTGGCAGTGCCTGGGGGCTGTTCTCTTCCTTCTCTTCTGCTCCACTGACCCACATGTCTTGTTTTGTGTCAGCACCTTGCTGTTTTGTCACTGAAGCTTTGCAGTAACACTTGAAACCCAGGACTGTGAGGCCTCTTGCTTTGTTCTTGTTGCTCAGGATTGTTTTGACTCTTCTGGGTCTCTTCTGATCCCATACAAATTTTAGGGTGGCTTTTTCTAGCTCAGTGAAGAATAGTGTTGGTATTGTTATGGCTGTGTCCAGATGTCCCCTAAAGCCTCATGTGGTCGTAGGTGGGGCTTTTCAGGCAGTGGATCTGGAGTGTGTGATGCTGGGATTAAGGGTGTGTGGTCACTAAACCAGTCCACTGATTGGTTTGGCACCACCCTAAACCTGGCAGCCTGGATAGAGTATAAAAGGAGCAAAAAGAAGTTGCTACAGTCGCTTGGACTTGCTTCTTGCTACTCTGCTGCTCTGCTTCCTCTTCCCCACCAGGGACTGTTTCTCCTCTGGACACCTGTCTGCCATCCACCCTGCCCTGGAGCCAGCCGACTATGAACTGAAACCGCTACGAACTGTGAGCCAAATAAACCTCTCCTCCTTTAACTCTGGATGTCAGGTATTCTGTCCCAGCCACAAGAAAGTAACTAAGACAGGATTTTATAGGAATTGCATTCGATCTATAGATCAGCTTTGGCGATACAGCCATTTTACCGGTACTAATTCTCCCCATCCAGCAACAGGGTGATTCTCACTTCCTTTCTGTCCTCTCCAGTCTCCTGCAGGATTTTAGTTTCCATCACAATGGCCTTTTGCCTCCCTGGTTAGGTCGATTCCTGGCATTTACTCTTGGTTTGCAGCTACGGTGAGTGGAGCTGTTTTCCTGATTTCTTTCCAGTGGGTCCCTTCCTTGTGTAAAGGATGCTACTGATTCCCGTGTACTGATTCTGCATCTTGGCTTAGGGACAGGCTTAAAACACTAGACATACGCAAAGGAGGAAAGTTTTCTCCTTTGGAAATGAGAGTTAAAATCTAGAAAGACAGAAAGAGCCACAAGGTAGAAAGAAAGGGAACTGAGGTAGAAGTGCTCCGGGAGAGAAGTGACAACCACAGGCGAGGCAGGGACAGCGAAGGGAGGAGAAGTCCAGCCACACTGGCCCGCACTGGCCAGGTCTCGCTGAGGATGCCGAGTGAGGAAGGGCAGAAGCAGCAGCCAAGGGTCCTCCAGCTCTTGCTCGTGCTAAGCATTGTGCCGGTCATTAACATTTTAAAAATCACGACAAACGGGACAGGCACTTCATTCGCCGCATTCTACAGACGATAACTGAGGTCTGGAGGGAAAAGAAACCCAACGACACTAACACATAGGGCTCTTCCGCCCCCTAACAATTCAGGTTTGCCCATCATTTCAGTCAGTAGAGAACTAACCCAGCGCCTGCCACTGTGCAAGGCGCATGGATTTCCAGCCAGGGCTCACTGCTGCCCGGGCTCGGCTGCAGGAGGGACCTGGGGGGCCACAGAGCTGCCCTCCTCCCGAAGCCTCTCCGGCACCCTCAGGGGGGCTCCTCTAACTCTCCTGGCTGTTTTCCTGCCGATTCTTTGAGGAAGATGGTAACGGTCAGCCAGTGTCCCAAGGATGGTGGTGGGGGAAATGCAATCGCTTTGTTATATTTCTGTATGGACATCAGCAAGGGAGAGTGCTGATGACTGAGATGTAAATGCCAACCTCAGCCACCATGTGAAGCACAAAACACACCCAGAAACCCATAATCAAAACCGTCCATGTTTGTCTTCAAGTGGCCATCAGAAAAGGAAAGCGTATTTTTAGAGCAGACAATGATTGTGTTAGACCAACCCAAACTGAAATCATTCTGCACCAATAACAAGATCTCCAGAGGGCACCAGGGACGTCAGATGACTGCGAGTCTCACCTGATGAAAACCAGCCTCACTCTGGATGGGGCTGTCCTGATGATGGCAGACGCATTTTGGTGGCTCCTTCCATACAGGATCTGATTGTTTATCTGTTAGGGAAAAAGAAATGCACTTGTGAAACTCCAGTCTGCATATTCATGTGTAAATGTGTAAGCTGGTACATGTGTACAGGCATATACGTGGACTCTTGGGATTAAGCGGGAAGTCTATTCATTTTTAAGCGTGCACATGTGGGACTCACTTGTGGTTTTAAGAGAACAGTAGTTGAGCTCATGATAAAGCCTTCATTTCCGACAGCTTTCCCAGATTGCTCAAAAACGTAGGGACAGACCAAGCCACCGTATTCACCGTGCCTGGGATGCCGGGGGGACACATGCTGTACCCAGGCAAGGTTCTCACACAGGACAAACTCTGTTACTCTAGAGGAGGTGAGGATTATATTCTTGCTTGAAGTCAAATTTTAGATTTGTTGAACAGAAACATTCTTGTTGACAATCAGTGAGCCGCCTGCCTGTGTCCAAGATGTGGCCGGATTTTTAACTTGATTTGCTTGAACTAACTTTGATCTAAAAACATTAGACTGAAGTTTTTTCCCGCCAGTTTTTCCCACGGCGACGATCACTGTCTTCACTCTATTTCACGCAGTGAGCAGCGTGCTGTACCATCACCCTGCCTGGCCTGGTGCCATCCTCTGTGGAGGGAACAGCACCGAACCCTCTGAGTGGCGGACAGAAGGCACAGAAGCCTTCCGTAGTCAGCACCCGACCCGCCTGCCCAGCTAGCTCTGAAACCTTGCACTCGAAGGCGCACCTCTGCCATGGCCAGTCGTGATGAGAAGGTGCGTGGACATGACACTGGAGCAGCAGGAGTGAACCACTTTGGCTGTCTGGGAGGAGCGCATCGGCCACTGCACCTAGAGGCAAAGCCAGGTTCACATCCAAGGCTGCTGCCCATGGATGCGCTGCCCTTCGCCCGCCTCTCACCCCATTGGCTCTTCTCGGGCCGAGATCACCAAGCTCACGGAACTCCGACTCCAGGTGTCATTCCTCCAGGCTCGGTTTCCTCCTTTCGAAATGGAATTAGGCACCGAGTTCACAAGGCTGCTGTAAGAACTACAGGGGGCACCTTTACATATTACTTGCAGCACTACTGATACCCACGTATTTTAAAATTTATGGGTTTAAAACTACTCATCTTGTCTGTTAAGCTTTCAGCCTTTAACATCATGTATTTAAAAATGTGCCCAACATCTGAAATGAACAGACATTTCTCAGACAAAGAAGTAAAAGCAGCAAATAAATATATGAAAAAATGTTCAACATCACCGGTCATTTGAGAGATGCAGATGAAAATAACACTGAGATTCCATCTCACCCCAGAAAGAATGGCTGCTATCAAGAAATCAACCAATAACAAATGCTTCTGGGGCTGTAGGGAAAGAGGAACCCTGCTCCACTGCTGGTGGAACTGTAGACTGGTGCAACCACTGTGGAAATCAGTATGGAGATATCTCAAAGAACTAGGACTGGAAGTCCCATTTGACCCCGCTATTCCACTGCTGGGGATCTTCCTCAAAGAATTAAAAGAATCATACCACAGTGATATATGTGCACCCATGTTCACAGCAGCACAGTTTGTAACAGCTAAAGCTTGGAAGCAGCCCAAATGCCCATCAGCTGGAGACTGCCTAAATAAAATGTGATTTTTTAAATAAAATGGAGTACTACTCAGCCATAAAGAACAAGAAACTAGAGACATTTATAGGTAAATGGTTGCACATTGAGGACATACTCTTATGTGAAATAAATAGGACACGTGTAAATACCAAGTAGTTTCTGTGGTGTGAGAAACTGAAAGTGTAAATAAGGATTAAAATGAATAATTGATAATGTGAAATAGGAAGAAAAGGTCCAAAGGAGTAGGGGAAGGGGGAGGGGTAGGGGAAAGGAAAGAAAGGAAAGGAAAAATGATGAGAAATGGAAAAAATGGAAAGAAAGTCTGTCATTAGAGAAGGGTGGAGGGGGTGAAGGGAGGGCAGGGGAAGGGGAAAAAATAAGAACCGAGATACGTCATGTAAAGGTATAAATTCCCAATGATAAATGTAAATGTATTGTATACCTAAAATGTACCAATGAAAGAATTTAAGAGAAAAAAGTCTATAAAAAAATGTGTCCAGGCTGGGCATAGTGGTACATACCTGTAATCCCAGCACTTGGGAGGCTGAGGCAGGAGGATTGAAGGTTTGAGTCTCATTTGGTAACTTGGTGAGACACTGTCTCAAAATAAATAAAAAATACAGAGATGGGGAGGTAGCTCAGTGTGAAAGCCCCAGGTTCAATCCCTAGTACTGCCAAAAAAAAAAAAGGGTCTATCCTCTTTATATTTTATATATATGTTTGCCTACTTTCATGGTTTACTTTTTCACATGTGTAACACAAACACACACATACTGTGGTGCTGGGGATTGAACCCACAGCCACGCACAGGCTAAGCATGCACAAGTACACAACTGCCTACATGCGTCATTTTATCTAACTTAGTAATGAGGGAAAAGGTTAGAGGAATTACGTAGTCACTTAGGAGTAGTGAGAAAAAGTGTACTTGATAACACAGGAGAAATACAACATGTATTAGCAGCAGAAACAGGCTCGCAAATTGCACTTCTAGCACAATCTTGACTTTGCTAACCATATTTTCCAACCTGTTTAATTTACAACGAGCTATGAACAAGGATCTTAAATCATCGTGGAGAATGAATTTCCCTGTGCTGGCCTTGCCCACAGAGGAGAGAGGGGAGGGGAGAGACCTGCCATGGACCCCATGGCACTGCCTGGGGAGTTTCTTGCTGCCCTGGTAAGGTGGGTAAAGCCCGTCCAGCTGGGTGGGTGGGTGGTCAGCCCCAGTGCAGGCAGGCACACGCACTCACACGCCAAGTGCACACACACGTGCACACACGCCCGTAACCCCGCATGTCCGTGTCCCCTGCATGCACGTCTGGCCTGCCTGGGAGGCGAGTCACAGCCAGCATAGAAACTGCCCTTCTCTACTCCAAGTCTGTTTTCCTTGACCTGAGCTCTGGTCTTCAAAGCAATGGAGCTGTAACAAAGGGTTTCCTTTCTCCTGCAGCCTCGCCAGCATTTGTTGTTTTAGTGCTGGGTGAGGGCCCTTCCTCCTGGCCTGAGGCAGAATCTCAGTGCTGCTCTGATTTCCAATTCTCTAATGGTCAGAAAGCCACTGGTTTCTTCTTTCTTTTGCCCACTTTTTGATGGGGTCTTTTATTTTTGGGTGTCTAATTTTGGGTTCTTTATATATGCTACATATTTGTCCTCTGTCTAGGAGTAGCTGGCAAGGATTTCTTCCCATACTGAGACTTTCTCTTCACTCTGTTGGTGTTTCCTTTCCGTGCAGAAGCTTTTTAATTAATTAATTAATTAATTTCAGTTTTTTGAGACAGGGTCTTGCTATGTAGCTCAGGCTGGCCTCGAACTCATGGTGATCCTCCTGCCTTGGGCTCCCGAATGCTGGGCTTACAGGCCTGTGCCACCACACCTGGCTTGCTTTTTCTTTTTTTTTTCTTTTTCTCTTTTCCTCTATTTTTCCCTTTCCTTTCTTATTTTTTTCTTCCACAAACCCTTGTGTCGAGGGCGTTCAGTAGATCCCAGCGAGGGCGCTGCTCTGCTACGTACGAAACCCCGACCCAGAAGCAGGTGGTCTCTGAATGGTTTAGCGCCAGTTTCCCCAGGACCGCGTCCCGCAACGGGCGAGGGCGGCCCCCTTTCCGGCCGCGCCCCGTTTCCCGGGACGAAGGGCTCCCCGCACCGGACCGGTCCGACGCGGCGGAGACGAGCGCGGGAGCGGCTATCCCAGGCCAACCGAGGCTCCTTCGGCGCTGCCCTATCGTTCCGCCTGGGCGGGATTCTGACTTAGAGGAGTTCAGTCGTAATCCCACAGACAGTAGCTTTGCCCCATTTTTTTTTATGGTGAAAATAATGTGTATTTAGAATTAGCCAGCTGGACTCAGTTTAGATCCCAATTTTGTTGGCAGCATCCAAAGCATCGTCATCAGGAGCCAGTCGGACATAGGCCTTCTTCTCTCCGTCAGGCCTGATCAGGGTACTGACCTGGGCCACATCAGTGTCCTAGAGCTTCTTCACAGCTCCTTTGATCTGGTGCTTGTTGGCCTTGACGTCCACAATGAACACGCGTGTGCTGTTGTCCTCTGTCTTCTTCATGGCTGACTGTGGTCAGGGGACTTGATGATGGCATAGTGGTCAAGCTTGCTTCTCCTGAGGGCGCTTTTCCGAGGGTATTTTGGCTGCCACCGGAGCCGCAGTGCCTTGGGGCGGCGGAAGGTGGGTGCCCTGCGGGTTTTCTTCTTTTTGTGGCTGTGGATGCCTTTCAGCACTGCTTTCTTGGCTTTCAAAGCTTTTGCTTTGGCTTCAGCTTTGGGAGGGGCAGGAGCTTCCTTCTTCGCCTTCGGCACCATCTTGGTAAAAAGGGCACCTGGCTTGCTTTTTAATTCAATATGATCCCATTTGTTGATTCTTGGTACCATTTCCTGTACAACTGGGGTTCTGTTCATAACGTCCCTGTCTAAGCCTATGTCTTCAAAAGTTTTACCTGTTTGACCTGCCAGCAGATTCAGTGTTTCTGCCTTTATACCTAAGTCTTCGATCTATTTTGATTTTATTTAGCACGTGGTATGAGATATGGGTCTAGACTCGCTCTGCCTGTGGATGGCCGCTTTTCCCAGCACCGTTTGTTATAAATACCATCTTTCCTCCAGTGCATGTTTCTGGCCCCTTTGTCAAAAATCAGATGGCTGTTTCCGTGTCCTCAGCTCCATCCCTCTGATCCACACATCTGTTTTGTGCCAGTCCCATGCTGTTTTTATCGCAATGGCTTTGTAGTATGCCTTGAAATCTGGGACTGTGAGGCCTCCTGCGTTGTTCTTGTTGTCCAGGATTGCTTTTGCTCTTCTGGGTCTCTTCTGGTCCATACGCATTTTAGGGATGTTTTTTTCTAGTTCTATGAAGAATGCTATTGGTATTTTGATTGGGATTGCATTAAATCTATCTGTCAGTTTTGG